GCAAATGCTTGTGCCTTCCGCATAGGTGTCCGCTGAGCTCACAAAGCTCCGTGGTTCTTTCCTACATCTGACCGGAAGCAGTTCCCTCTCCCTGCCCACTTACAGAGGAGAACATGCCTGCACTCCAGGGGACCTCAAGCAAGCATCTGTGAGGACCAGGGACAGTCCTGAGTTTGAATCTAGTCCCAAGCTGTGTGACCTTGGGCAGCTTACTCAGTTTTCCTGAGCTCCAGGTTCCTTATTTGCATGCTGGGGATAATAACGCCAAGCTGAAAAGATTACTGCAAGGAACACACGAGCCAGTACTTGGCCAGTGCTTAGCTATGTCTGGCGCATGATGCCTGCTCAGACAATGCCAGTCATCATCAATAGCGAAGCTTCTCTAAATGCAAATGAAGCAGGCAGCACTCAAAGCTGTGGCTACCTATGTGCCCCCTTCTCTGTGGGGTGAAATTGTGAGTAAGACTGACATGCCCCTGTCTGCAGGGAGTTTATTGTTCAGCCGATGAAACTGGCAACTAAACAGACAGTCAAAACACAGCATGAGAAATTCTGTGGGTGGTGATGGTGGTGGTGGTGGTGGGGACATCGCTGATCCTAGTAGAAGCAAATAGCAGGGACCTGTAAGCCAGTCTAACATCTGGGACAGCCCTCCCCAGGTTGGGTGGAACCTCTAGAAGTTGACTCAGACAGGGAGCCCTAAAGAGCAAAGGTAGTGCTGGAAGCCTTCTGTTTATAGATGAGCAATCTTTGGTGAAACCCACCCCCGACCCCGGCAAGGAAAAGCCTTCCATTTCTGTGATGTTATTTTGCCCTTTAAAAAAGTATGTGTGATCAAACTGATTCTTTCTGGCAATTATTTGTAAGACTTGCCTAATGTCTTTCTCCCCTGCTGGAAGGTGTGCTCTCTACAGGTAGGGCTTGTAATTAAGAAATTAATTGAGATGGGGCAGACATTGAGATTTGCTGCACTGCACCTTCCAGCCATGCCTGAGGTCTTTGTGTATCTTCCTTCCTCCCCACTGGCACTGGCTCACAGCGGGGAGGGTCTGAGCCTTCTTGACTGGCAGGGTTGGAGCTTGAGCTGGTAGCAGCCAGCGCCCCGCCTGCCCCAAAGCTGGTTTCAGCCACCCCCCCACCCTTTGCTCTGTCAGGGGGCTTCTTGTCCCTCAGTGCTGCTTGTACTGTGTCTCTGATAATCAATGCTACCCTTATCTTTGGAGGAAATGCTGCCCAGTGATATCACACACTGAATCGATTAAAAGCAGAACTTTGAACTCATCTGTTTGGAGAGGTCTCCGTAGAGTGAATCACTCAGTCCCCCTTAATGTGATCCGATGCCTGCCGGAAGCCCCAGTCCCCCTTAATGTGATCCGATGCCTGCCGGAAGCCCCGTCTGCAGCTCAGAGGCAGCTCCCCTTTGCAGACCCAGAACATCCCGCATTTTCACAGATCAGCTTGGGCAGGAGCCATTCTGTGTATTTATCTACAATGAGGTCACCTTCAACCTACCTGCCTTCGACTTTTGTTTTTAGCACAGTTCAAACAGAAAGACCTCCAGATTTCCTCTGCTTTCCCTGTTGCTGGACTTTCTCATTTAATCCAGTGCTTACCGTCATTGCACTTTCTTTGCAGAGAAAGTTCCCAGCAGATGGGTGTTTCTGTTAAATTTCAAACTTCCAGCCCTTCCCTAGATGGGAGGTGGAGGTACATGAGCTGGTCTCCTAATTCAGAAACATGGCTAGGAAGAAGAGGCATTCAGGAGGTGTGATCAAAAGTAGGACCTGTGCTATGGACAGTTGGGAACTTGAGTCCTGGGGGAGGCACATGTGGCCCAGAAAGGCCAGGGAAGACTCCATCAAGGAAGTGGGACTGGGGCTGGGTCTTGGAGAGGGAAGGAGGGATTTGAAGGGGCAGGAGATGGGATGGGGGTGTTTTTCAGTGAGAAGGGAGGGGCAGCCTGATAAAGCACAGGGCTGATGGTGGGCATGTATGCCCAAGGAGAAAAAAGCAGGCACTGTCAGAGGTACAGGTGGGCGGGTTGGCTGAGTGGGATGGCCAGAGAGGAGACAGGGTGTGCCGAGTGTGATGGTTCATGTTTGTGTGATCCTGGCTAGGCTACGGTGCCCACTTGTTTGGCCAAATACCAGTCTAGATGTTGCTGTGAAGGGATCTTTGAGATGAGATTCATATTTAAATCAGTAGACTTTGAGTAAAGCAGATTGCTGGCCATATTGTGGGTGGGCCTCACTCAATCAGTTGAAGGCTTTAAGAGCAAAGATTGAGGTTTTCTGAAGAAGGGATTGTCCTCATGGCTGCCACACAGACAGCCTGCCTGTGTTTCCATGCTGCTGCCCTGCAGGACTCGGACTCAGGACTGCAGCATCAACTTTTAGTTATCATCCTACCGGCATCCCCTATAGATTTTAGACATGCCAAACCCTGAAATCTAATGAGCTAATGGCTCAAAATAAATTTCTCTTTCTCTCCATATATCTACTTATATCCTATCGGTTCTGATTTCCTGGAGACCCCTGGCTATGACCCTGATAAAATGGGGTTTTGCTGAGTGATAGAAGTTCAAGGACAGTTTCTGAGAGCCAGGCTCCCTTTGTGTGGTATTTAAAGACCAGGCATTGAGTCAATTTCTGCAGCCAAGTTCAATGCCCACCAGACTCTGCCCAGGGAAGCCCATGCAAAGTGATTCCTGGGGACTCTTTAAATGACCTTCCATGCAGACACATGACAAGTGTGGGGTGGGGCCTGGCTCACCCCCAGTTTTTTCACTTCTTGGGTGGAGATGTTTTTAATTGACAAGAAGTCCCTCTTCCAGTGGAGATTTTCTTGTTAAAATCAATGTTCTTGCCTTCTGTCACGCAGCAGAAAGATTGTTTTTTGGTAAGCGCGCCCTGGATTGTTCTGACCCAGTCGTGTAAGAAGCATCTCTCCTGGAGGCCGCTGTGCAAATGAGTCTCTGCAGAAATGTGTCCGGGCTGTCAGGGTGGGGAGAGATATCTTTAGTAAGAGCAGGTCATGGAATGAGACTTCCCCACTGCAGCATGGATGGGCAGAGGGGGTTTCCACCAGGACAGTTCTTAAGAATCTCTGTAAAAATGCATGACTCCATCTGTCTCCTCTCTCTTCCTTGGCTTCAGATGAGCTGAGCCATTTAAAAATCCCCCAACAAGGGACCTGAGGCACCAGAAGAAGTGATGAACAGATTTTCAATTTGGCTTTGATTTGCATGAGTTTTTTTTTGTGTGTGTCTGAACTTGGGGCTGGAGATGGGCAGTGGGTCTCCCCATAAGAGGCAGATTCCTAATTGGTCTGGACAGACTACTGGTGCTCCTGGGTACAGGGCTCTAACCTCAGCTTATGGAGAGAAGGAAGAAGTGGCAGAGGAAGAGCCAGGGGGGAAATGGACTATCAGAGCAGCACCCAGGGCCAAGGGAAGGACCCCGTATCCCCACCAGGGAGCCAACCCACCGGATCTCCCAGAACTGCTGCTCAGTGACTTCTCAAGGGTGCCCCAGGGGGCGTCTTCTCGACCATGGCGCTGACTGATCTCTTCTGACTAAGGGCAGCCTTGTAATTTCTCACAGGCAGGATAGTGGGGACCTCAGACTGAGCCTGGGGGTTCTGTGGCCCTGGGAGCTGGAACCTGGCCCTCCAGAGGGAGCTGCAGAATATCTAGAGAGGAGGGGCTGGGGGAGGGGAGCGTTCTGGCTGGAATAGTAGGCCCCAGGATACCAGCTCCACGTGTTGATAATTTGGGATGTCTTTGGTAGTGGTGCTGGGGCAATACTGCTTGGGAGGAATGTGTATTAACAGTAGCCAACATTTATGGGTGCTTATTTGTTCCAGGCACTGGTCTAAGCCTTTATTCATATTCAGTAATTTAATTGCCACAGCAACCATCCAAGGTGCTCTTACTATTCTCATTTTCAGATGAGCAGCGATGCTAAAGACCTCGCCTAGCTACCTCGCCAGTAGGTGAAGGTACAGCCAGGTGGGGACCCAGGTGGGCTGGTTTTGAGCCCTGTTCCTAACCCCTGCACGCAATAACTCTCTTCTAAGCTGCCACTTGGTTTCAGTACCACACCCTTCTCTCCAGCCTGATGTGTGGGGCCAGGCACACTGGGCTGTCCTTCGAAAGACCATGTAGACCTTCCTGGGGGCTGCGGCAGCCTCTATTAAGGACCTTCCAGCTCAGAAAGGAGATCCCCTGGAGCCTGTTCAAACCTTTCATTCTGCTGAGATCCCCTCCAGCCTTCCTCCTTTTGCCAAGTCACATCCTCTGCTTGCCTTTGGAGGCCTGGACTCTAGCCCCATCCACTCAGAGGCTGTGGGGAGGCAGCCTTCTAAGGCACTGCTTTTAGGGGAAAAGTTTCAGTTTGATCTGGCAAGTACACGGATTCCCACAATAGAAATAGCAATATAAACATCAAGTCTAGATTAAAATTAAAAAAATCCAACCCCATGGGCGGGAGGTCTGTGTCCCTTGGGCTCCAGAGCTTTGGGCAAGGGCCTGAGGGCGATTAATGCGCGAGGCCTGGAAGCTCAGGGAGAGGATAGCATGGACCCAGCAGCTGGGGACTGCTCAGTCCCCGAATTTTACAAGTGGGGAAACTGAGGTCACAGACAGGAAAACTTGTTCATTTCAGGTCCCAGGAGACCTGACCCCCATTCTGAGGGTCCTTGTATCTTGGCTCAGGCTACTCCAGGGGCTTCTCATGGAAGAATCTGCTGGCCCAGGGACGCTGCATGGCTGGTGCTTCTGGTTCTTAGAATAGCATTCATTCATTCAGTCAGTCAGTCATTTGTTCACAGGTATTTATAGAATGCCCACTGTGGGCCAGAGACTGGACACAGGATACAGCTGTGAACAAAACAGGCTATCCTCTCCTCGTGGAGCTATCATTTTTTTTGGAGTGGAGACATAAACATACATTACATAAATAAACTTTGTGTCCAAGGTGGTGAGGACAATGGGAAGAAATGCAGACGGGGGTGTGAAGTGTCCCCTCTGAGGCTGGTTCTGGTCTGAGAGAGCGGGACCCCTTGAGCCATGGGAAGAGTGGTGGTAAGATCCCCCTTGGCGACAGCCTCTCCCCATGTGAAGGGGCAGGAGTTAGAGGACAGGGCTGGGGACCAGAATTCACACGACCATATGAGGGGTGGCTAACAGGCGGCATCCGAAGGGCCAGGGAGAGTCCTGGGTGGTGAGATGAGCTGGGAGTTCAGGGCGAGCTTCCCGGTAGAGGCCAGGCTGGGCTGGGCATTCAGGAAGTGCCCTCGGAGGGAATTTAGGAAGGGCAGAAGCGGGCACAAGTAGAGCTTTCCAGCTGGCTGGGAGCAGCCTGTGGGAGGAAGACGTAAGGGGTGACTCTGGAGGGATAGTCAAGAAGCAGTGTTGGAGCCTGTGAAGAACGGGCTCAGCAGGCTTTATTTCCCAGGCATGGGGGCTCCTCGCAGTTTATAGCCAGGGGACGTCACTGGGGAATGGCTGCTTTATGAAGGACCTGTGGCAGGTGCAGGGGGTTGTGCGGCAGCAAAAAGGTGACGGCATTTTGGGCGCTGATTGTGGGGTGGAGCGAGGGGATGACGCCAGGGAGAAGCTGTAGGACTTGACGCCTGAGCCACAGTCCTCAGTCCGAGGCTGCTGCTCTAGGTTTGGAGGGAGTAGCAGCCTCCTGTTTCACTGCTCTGTGCATGTGTTGCCGGGATGGGGAGAGGTGGCCTGAGTGCTTGGGGACTTGGTACAGACGTGGAATCTTATGATACCACAGCTCTGCACCCCCCCAAGCTCCCCTTCCGTAGCTGCCTCCCCGAGTCTGCCTTGGATTTGACCATCCCAAATCAGACAGAGCCTGGGGGACACTTGGCAGAAAAACCTGGGGTCAGCCCAGGGATAGAGGAGACGCATGTGATCTATTCCTGCAAGGCCAGCTGGGAAGGGGGTTGGGAGGCTTCCTTTTTTATTAGTTAAATGTATTGGGTGGCAGTGGTTGGTAAAATGACATAGGTTCCAATGTGCTGAGTTGAGTGACACTGCAAGAAAGAAACCCCAGGGCAGATCTGTGTCCCTTCAACTCCACAGGCACAGTGTGGGGAAGTTGGGGCCCCAGGGAGCACTCTGAGCATCTGACTGGTCTGGGTCCCTTGGCTTGTTGCAGTCTGGCAGGAGCCCTTAGCATTTTGGAGTGGACAAGGCCTGACCTAGTCCTCAGTGTCCCTGTCATAAGGGTCAACGCCTCCAGCCTGGGCCCCGCACTGGGTCTCGGAGGAGAATCCTGCGGTGCTTCCAAGCTCACTGAATGCCCCTGGAGAGGCCCACACATGGTTTCCCAAGCAACTTCTGGGAAGACCTGGGCTGGCTGCGATGGGGGCTCTGGAGGCTGCTAGGGTTCTAAGGGTGCCCTGCCTGTCAGAGCCATGGCTGCTATTTAAGGGACAGATGTCACTAAGGGTGACCCAGGCTCATGTGTAGTGGACAGTAGCCAGGTGGGGACACCAGGTGAAAAAATGGAGACTCAGAGATAAGCAGGACCCCCTCTGGCAGAACAGAGGCTGGAATCCTGCCCTCACCCCCTCCTAGCTCACTTTCACCTCCTCAGCTCCTTGAGGTCTCAGGCGGGGCTTAGCTGAGAGCTCTCAGAGGCCACCACAGGACAGCCGCATGTGAGAGCCAGCCATCTGAGACGGGGACTCTTGATTGACTCAACCAGGCAGCTTTGTTGTGCCCTAGTTGTCTCCCCACCCTCTCTTTGCAGACTGAAGTGGCGTGTACTTTGTGCTTAATTATAGTGCTCATCATCAGAGGAGCTGCCTGGAAGCACATGTCATCTTGTTTGGGGCTAACAGACACGAAAGCTGGAAACTATCTATTAGATCATCCCATCCTGGTCTGATTTGTGTCTGAGTCCTCCTGTTTTCTTCAGCCTGGGACTCAAGCAGGAGGGAGCCTGTGCTAGGCCTCCTGGGAAATGGCCCCTGCACATGTTTTTCTTGGGCTCTGCGCTCATTTTCCTTGTCTGTCGATTCATTTTCTATCCAGCAATCTGGCTCTGCCGGCCTTGCTCTGCTGCGTCCTCCCAGCGAGCATCGATTCCTCTGGCTTCTGTTTACGCAGCCTCTGCTCTGTGGCAGGACTGCGTGCTCAGTGCTAGGGGTTCAGACCGTGATATCAACTGGTCCCTGTGCACAGACTAGGGCAACGTGAGACATGCCTATGAATAACCAATTCATGGCTAAAAGTGGGACAGTGGGCCGTACCATGCAAGAAGTTTCAGTGTAGTTAGGAAAAAGACAGGTCACTTTGGGCTCTGATCATCAGGATGGCTTCACGGAAGACTTGGTATTTGAGCTGGGTGAGAATTGGCTAGGTGGGATAAAAAGGGTTAGGGCGCCACCGCGGCAACCGACAGCCTCCCCCTCCTCCTGCCTGACTGGGGACTGCTCAGTATCCTCTGTCTCCACTTCACCTTTTTGGCTGTGGATTGAGTCCCTCTACATCTGACCTTTGCCACCTCATCCCCTTACTTCTCCCTCTTCTCCCACATCTGGCCCATTTTAGATGCACTGGGCAGGCAGGTCCAGGGTGTGGCGGGAGGCAGGTGACCACAGTGCTAGGGCCATCGCTGCCACAAGCCGTCATCTGCAAAAGGAGGGGTGAGGGTGACCTCTCTGAACCCTTCAAGCCTGACGTTCTAGGAATTTCTAAAGCAGTGAGCCACTTGGCTGCTCCAGGGTCCAGAGGTGGTGGCCTCATATCTGTTTCTTCCTCGTCATGACTTCAGCCATCACCACTAGCCCGGCAGCTCTCCGAAACACACATCCCACTGTTCCCTGCTGTCCCCCTGGAGGGGTCTTAGAATCAGCATGTCCAGAGGGACCTGCACTTCACACCCTCTGATTCACCCTCCTGCCAGAAAGCATATCCATAACGCAACACTCCCACACTTCCGGTCACATGAGTCTCTTGCTTAAAACCACTCTACCAGGGTAAAATCCCCAGAAAACGCAGGGTGGTGGGGCACAGGTCATTTGTGACTTGATCCCAGGATCATCTATCATGGCTCCCACCTCTCAGACATCATACTCAAGCCACCCGAGCTGCTGAACACAGCTCTGTGCCTTTGTCGCATCTCTGTGCCTCTGCATGTGCTCGTCCTTCGGTGTGGAAGATCATGCTCATCCCATGTTTGCTTGATGAGCTCCTATTTTTTCATAAACACCCAGCTTCCTTATCACTTCGGTAATGAAACCTTCCCAGACATTGCCTGTGCCAGTGCATTGATCATTTCCACTCTCTTTGCCATCCCTGACCTGGTAAATACAGCTTTTATGGCACTTATCAATGTTATTATCAATTCACAGATCTGTGGGCATACTGTCTCCTGTCCATCTTTGGCCCCAGTTTTCTCTAGCACAGTCAGCACTTACTAAGTGCTAAGTTTTTTGTTTTTTAAACTGAATGGAACACAGTCCCAAGTACTGACCTACAGGACTCAGCCCGTGGACATCTTGGCCCTGCTTGAGGTCAGCAGTACATTTCCAGAGGCTTCTGCAGTGGACAATAGCAGGGAGAGTCTGTTTTTTCAGCTCGATGCATGCCCTGAGTTAGTGTTAGGTGTTTTCTCCTTCACAGGCTAGAGCGAGCCCTTGAGCTGACCCAGAAGCCCTGAGCATTCGTCACCCTGTATTGATAGCCATGTATTTTCCTCCCCTCTTTATTCCTAGAGATGAAGGAAGAAACACAAGCTCATGTTACAAAGACTATTTCCCATGTTTATCAGCTCTCCCCCTCTCAGCTTGCGCTCAGAATGATTTCTTAGTTCTCAGCTTTTATTCCTCTGATCAAAGTGCCCGAGGCAGTGAGCACTGGGGAGGCGCTGGCATTTCTGCCTGAGTCTCATGCCCTCCTCTTCTGGGCTGTTTTAAGAGCCAGTAACCTAAAGGTCTATGGTTAGGTGTGCATGGCCTGGTTGGGGAAGAGTCTCCAGGGGCTTATGGGGCCCGGCTCCCCTCGGATGTTGGGGAGCAGCTGCTTTGCCTAGGCCTGGAGGAGATCAAAGCCCCTCGCATCTTCCCTCATCCTGCCTTTCCCATTCTGTTCACTCAATCTAACTTTTCTCTCCAATGAATTAAATGCAGAAAATCCATGAGCAAGATTTCTCTCTTCAAAGAATCAAATAGCCTTTCTTTCTTTCCCCCTTTTTAATTTTTTTCCCCAAACTGTGAAAAGAAAACATGCAAACAGACTTAGAGTTAAAGGTGAGAAGAAAGAAAAGTTGCAGCAAAGTAATTTCAACTTGAGAAGTAGAGCAGTTGAAACCCAGAAAACAATGTATGCTCAGCAATATGGTCCTCTCCTACAAATTAATTAACCCAAAGTGCTTGTTTAATTAGTGTGAGGGGTAGGGAATTGAGTAGCTAACACTATCTCTCACCCAGTTTAGAATTATGTTTAAAAAAGAATTTCCTCTTTCTTTTCGGAGAGGGTTGAGAGAGTTGCCCCATCTATCAGGAATCAGCAGATACCTCATGGCTGGAGACATATTTTGAGATGGGTTTCGCATCTGAGGAGGTGGTCTTTCAGCTGCATCCCCTGACCCCCTGCCTCTGTGCATGTCAGGTGGGCCTTTGCGGAGTGAGGGCAGAGGCCACTCAGCTCTGTTCCTGGAGAACTGGGTTCTGAGGGCCTCCTGAGACCAGGTCTCCAGGCCTCTCAGCCCTTCCCATCCCCCCAAGCCCCCCCCCCTTTGTGCTGTATACAAGATCTGACAGTTAAGTTCACGAACTTGCTGCAACGACATTGCTAAACTTTTTTGATATCAGAGGGATTATTTATTATGAATTTGTACCAACTGGACAAACACTTAACCAGGTTTACTCTTTGGAAGTGCTGAAAAGGCTGTGTGAAAAAGTTAGACAACCTGAACTTTCTGCCAACAATTCCTGGCTCTTGTATCACCACAAGGTACTAGCTCACATGGCACTGTCTGTGAGGAAGTTTCTAGCCAGTAAACAAATCACTGTATTGGAACACCCTCCCTACTCATCTGATCTGGCCCCCAATGACTTCTTTCTTTACCCGAAGATAAAGAAATATTGAAAGGAAGACATTTTGATGACATTCAGAACATCAAGTGTAATACGATGAAAACTCTGATGGCCATTCTAGAAAAAGAGTTTCAAAATTGCTTTGAAGGGTAGACTAGGTGCTGGCATCGGTGTGTAGTTTCCCAAGGGGAGTACTTCGAAGGAAACCATAGTGATAGTTAGCCATGAGGTATGTAGCACTTTTTCTAGGATGAATTCACGAACTTAATTGTCAGATCTCATAAAATTTCTGAGTTCCTGCTTTTGACATGAGTGTGGGTATTGATCACCTCTTGAAGCACTGGGAGAACTCAAGTCAGTCAAGTTCTCAGAGAGCTGCAGTTGAAGATTCTGTGGCTGATGTTGTGAAGGAATGTTTGTTGGATGCCACGCTTCACGGGGATCACGGAGGGGTGTTTTAACTCTCCTTTTTTGTTTGTTTTGTTTGTTTTCCATATACTCCTTTGGCATCTAGTAAGGCTTATGAGCTTGCTATGGACTGAATATTTCTGTCCCCCAAATATGTTGAAACCCTAACCCCCAATGTGATGGTATTTGCAGGTGGGCCTTTGGGAGGTGATTGGGTCATGAGGGTGGAGCCCTCTTGAACGGGATTAGTGCCCTTCACAGAAGAGGTATGGAACAGATGTTCTCTCTCTGACATGTCAGGGTACAAGAAGAAAGCAGCTGTCTGTAAGAATTCTCTCACCAGACACTGAGATGGCTGGTGCCTTGATCTTGGGCTCCCCAGCCTCCAAAACTGTGAGAAATAAATGTTTGTTGTTTAGGCCACCCAGTCTGGTATTTTGCGATAGCAGCCTGAACCAACTAAGACAGGGTTTATTGTCAGAATAATGCTTTTAAATGCACAAGATAAAATACATAGGAATAAAAAGGAAACTAGGTATATTGACATACAGTTATCAAAATATAAATAAAACAGATACATAGCACAGTCATATAAATGCTTCTTTCTTAACTCATTAAAAAGAAAGATCTACTTATAGTTCTAATAACCATCATATATCTGAAATAAATAATATTTTGAGAAATCTGAAACAATCATAATAAAGTATTTGATTTCCACTGTTGAGAAATAGTAGGCATTGCTAAAACTACGTACTGTGCTTATTGCCACATTTGTATAGTTCAGATAAAGGTTCGTGAGACTAAAGATAGACATTTTCCCATCCAAGTTCACTGACCCTCTGAATTCTGTGCAGCTTTGAGTGAGCCTCCACTGATGAATAAATGAGATTCTTAGGGTATACCCCAACCATTTGTGGCTTCAACTGAATCCTTATAAGTTCCTCTACTTGGTGGGGGGGTCTTTGCTCCTCTCTGGGGACTGAAGGATTGAGTTTTTGGGGCCACTGAAGATTGTGATATTAAGGAATTGGAAGACCAAGAGGACAGAAATGACCAGAGAAAACTGGTATAATTTGTGTAAGATAAGAAGCACTAGGTCCTTGGCTTGTGTTGGGAGGAAAGTGGGGAGGGCATGTGCATGGCTGAGGAAGGATGTGTGGGTATGTGTTGCTTATGTGGTACACTGGCCAAGTCATGAGGGAAAAGGGAGGTAATGTGGGGCCAGGCAGGGGGAAGAGAGTCGGCGTTGGGACATCTTGGCAGTTAGAGGCGGGTGACCTGAACACGACCCTCTTTGGGCTGCAGGGTGGAAGGGGCTCTCCCTAGCTCATCACTATAAAGGACATATATTGGGGCTGCAGGCATATCGATGCTCAGATACCTGCTCATGTAGTTGGAGTTCTTTCTCTTCCCTGTTCCTCGGGAGCCAGGCTTCAGCATCATCATGTATATGCTTTCACCCATTGGTCACTCACTTCCCAAACAGCCCCTCCCAGGTCCTTTCAAGCAACAGACTCAGGCTTCATGTGCAGATACCCATAGGCTGCTTGTCCATTTGCCATCTGCTTAGTACCTGTGATGACTGAAATAACCTCTGAACAGGAAAATATTTTCTTTCCTAGTTGCTGTTCAGAGGGGTGGGCAATTGAACTTCTCTGCTTGAAGAAGATAAGTTGATCCAGGTAAGATTTAATTTTACTAAAGGAAAACCTCAAAATGACTTTTCCCTGTAAGTTAATTGTGTGTGTGTGTGTGTGTGTGTGTGTGTGTGTGTGTGTGTGTGTGTTTGAAAACAAAGACTACACAATACAGGTGAATGATATTTTGCAGTCTTTGTTCTCCAGGATGAATCTCAGTGCATCAGACAGGGAGCTGAAACTTGCAGGCAGAGAAATAGAATCCCCAATTTCTCCCTTTTAACCTGAATCCAAGCTCTTCCAGGGCACTGGGCCAAATACAAGTAACCAAGAGTGCATCTCGGAACTTGGTGGTAAGAGATTAGGTGACAATCCTGTTCAATCTTAAAAATCATTAATGCGATATTTGACATTCTTTTTTTCCTACTGTCTTCAAAATCCAGTGTGTGTTTTACACGTACAGCACATTGTAATTCAGACTCGCCTCATTGCAAGTGTTTGGTGGCCACATGTGGCACGTGGCTACCATATTGAGTAGCGCTTCCCTAAGTCTGTTCTTCACCATGAGCTGTGCTGCCCCTTGGATGATCTGCCCATGGAACTCAGCAAGGCCTTGGAGATGGGTCTGGTTGCAAAGGCATGCTGTGATGTAAGGATACAGGAGGCAGCCCAATGGGAAATACACCACTGACACTAGGACTACTTTCCAAAAAAAAGAAAAAAACAAAGCAACCTGAAGACTACCATCTCCTTGAGAAACTTGAGAAGGCTCCTCCTGGAGTTCGTGGGTGTCCTGAGAACTGGGAAGGTATCTTCTGCCACCCTGAGTGTGCAGTGGGTGCTCAGAGCCCAGGGAAAAGGTTTGTTTATCGAGAGACCCCATGGGTGAAGCAGCCCCATCCGTGAGACCAAGGCCATGGCAAGAAGTTGAGGAAAAAAGGCAATGTCTCCAGCTTTCTCTGTTTTCTCCTGTGTTTCTCCCTCTGGATTCTCCAGTGCTGCTCTTATTTTTCTGTTGATGATTCTGTTATTCATGTATCTGCTTGCATCCCATTGTATTCCTTAAGTGGACTAGATGCCGTTAACATTTATAGTTGGATTATATATCACAAGATGATGTAAAAAACTTCAAAAAACAAGGCAGAGAAGTAAGAATAGGAGAGATGAATGGAACCGGGTATGAGGCTAGTTCAAAATACACATCACTTAATGCCTCCCATGTTTGCTAGAGATGGGCCGTGTTGATCTGAGCCCAAGCTTCCCACCAGCCAAGGCGAAGAGGGAGGCATGGAGGGATGTGAGTCACAGCACAACCCAATAAGAATCAGATGCTGAGTTGGCTCAAAGTCATACCGTGATGCAAGGACGAGCATGGTGGGAGACATACCGATGAAGACAAGACGCTGTCACATCCTCAGTGCTGTTCTTCCTGGATTCCTCCTTGGAAGAAACATCCTCAGGACCCAGATGCCACCTTCAGCAGCACCGTGCCCACATCGGTATGAAATCCTGCCCTCCCACTCACCCACTGTTCCTTTCTTGTCTCCGTGGAGGCTGCAGTCACCTCCTTGCTGTTCTACTGAAGCTATTCTGCAGGAGCCCACCTGAGGCTCGCCAGACACCCAGCTCTTGGATAAACTGGCTCAATCTGAGTAAGTTTAAGTGATTCTGAGCAATGCATTTCCATGGCAGGGACTCCAGGGAGCTCGCCAAAGTCAGTTTCCTACCTTTCTGGGCCCATGGGTCATGTTCCCAGCCTCCTTTGTAGCCAGGTGTGGCCTCAACACGGAATGAGCAGAAGTGAAGCATGTTACTTCTGAGCTGAAGTGATTAGAAAGTGAATGCATCGTCTCCAAGATCCCTTTGCCCATCTGCTGGCTGAAAGGAGAAGGCTATAGAGACCGAGAGCAGGATGGAGTCACAGGAGGGAAAAAATCTGAGCTACTGAAGTCCCGGTGGAAGAATGCCCAGCCAGAAAACCTTCACTGAACTGTGATATGCATGAAGAACCAAATTCTATTCTCAAGCCGCTGAGAATTCCGGGTTTGTGCGTTATAGGAGCTAGCATTATTTTAACTACTACAAGTCCCCCTGGGGAAATACTCTCTAAACACAATACCTCTTAACCAAGAAAAATTGAAAGGTTTGAGTGGCACCAAGTTCAAGGTTATATTTCCCGACAACTATTAGGAGTGCAAATATTCTCGGCTGTAGGGAAGTGGGTAGGTATAGAGCCTTATGTTTAACAGTCACCAAAGGTGGGAGTAAGATTAACACACTCTTGTCAAAATTGTGTCACCTTACAAGAATTCCTGCCTGAATAGAAAGCTCTCATATCTTCTTTTGGAGATAAGCCAGGATGTGCCTGTGGGTAAGGCCAAGATTCTCCTCAGGAAATCATTTTGGGTCTGCCTTGACACATGGAAAAATGGTACCAAGGCCACATGCTTTCATACTATGTAATCTGCTATAGTAATTGTAATCTGAAAAACATTTTTAAACAGCTGTAACCCTACGACTGCTGCAGCCCTTCAAAACAAAGCAGAACTTGGACAGTGAACTTGGCCGAGTTCCCTTCTCACCCTGGGCTTTTGTTTCCAGGCATGATGAATGATAAATGGATGCGATGGGCCAAAACTGCAATTTACAATCTGTGCGTACGATGCCAAACAAAAACTCTCTAATGCACTCATCTATAGCATGTCTGTAGTAAACACAATTCTATTCCCGTTGTTCTTACAAAGCATAAGCACCAAGCACCAGCTAAGCAGCAGAGCGGACATTTCCAGGTACCACACCCTCCACACAAAGTGAGACGCTCATCATATTTATGGCCCAGGTCCTGCAGGCCCCAACAAGGAGGGAATGGCGCCCCCTGCTTCTCTCAGAGCAGCATGTGGGCGTGCACTTGTGCTTACGGGTCACTGGGGACTGGGCTGTGAGGCTTGCTGGTGTGCAGGGCTCCGTGGCCCCTGATGAGAGTTCGACACTAAGTAAGTCATCTGCAGAGCTTGGTGATGTGCCCAGGAATGAGCTCACAGCTCTCCAGATTCAGTGAACAGACAGGAGTAACAGCATCGAAAGGTCCCAATGATGAGATAGAGCGGGGCTCCATGCTGGGCGGGGCTCCATGCTGGGCGGGGCTCTATCCTGGTGTGTGTGGGGGGGTGTGCTCCTGCAGGGCCGCCTGTGGAGCCCATGTCCACCCAAGGGACACAAGTACCTTTAATTTCAAACTTTAGACTGCATGGGATGTGAATCCCTTGTCCCTAGAGCAGGTAAAGCCGAACTCTGGCTGAAGGATAAGAAATAAAACCCCAGATCAGATTTTTAATTCACATTTGAGGTCTTGAATGATCCTAGAGTTGAGCTCCCGGTTGTTCCTCTTCTGGGAAGGTTATAGGGTGGGGTGTGAGTGTGGGCAGGTGCTTCCTCACTGTGAAGCGTGAATGGCTGGGACAGCTGCAGTGAGTGCTGGAGGCAGCAGGTGTAACGTGCAAAGTACATTGTACCCAAACCCAGGTTGTGTGAGGTGCTGCCGGATGCAAAGGCTCTGTCACTTTATGCTTCACTGGCTTTCCATCCTTCTCAGCTGTCAGGACCTTGAAGGAGACACACTATTATGAGGAAGTTCTAAAAGCCCCTGGCACAGTGCCTTTCAAACTTTCAACGTGCCTAAGACTCACCTGGGCATCTTGTAAATATGCAGATTCCCGGTCAGCAGGTTTGGGGAGGGGCCTGAGATTCTGCATTTCTAAGCAACTCCCAGGTGATGCCAGTGCTGCTGCTCTGAGGACCACAAGCTGAGTAGGAGGGTCGGGGGATCGTGGCATGTGTGGACTGATGTTTGGACAAGCAGCGCTTTTGTGCAGCTCACCAGAGCCCTCCCTGGAGGCTGACAGGGATCTGTGAAGAACACCCCCTGGAGGGCCTCCTTCTATTCACCCCAGCTTTGTACTTTGTGTCTTTGCTTCTGCAAACTTGGAGGTGCCTCATTGTACCTTATGTCTGAGCTAGGCATTTAGAGAATATCACCTGAGAATGTCAGCAAGCTGGCCAAAGGCACCTGGTTGAAAGCCCGACAAGGAATGCGGAAACTGGTTTATGTTCTCAGCTCTGCTCCCGACTGGGCATCCCAGGTGAAACCCAGCTCTGTCTCATTCTTCCCGTTCTCTGGGGATGCGAAGGCGCAGGGTGCCTCCATCCTTAGAGAGGCTTGGCTCCCTCCATCCTGACACGTGCATGTTTTCTGTTTTATAGGAAGAAATGTGTCTTGGCTGTAGGCCCATGTTTCATTCCAGCGCATCCTTTTTACCAAAAGAGCTGTCCCCGGAGCTGCCAACAGTGTTGATGAGAAAGCCATCCAACAATACTTTGGATCTGGGAGCGTGGCCTGACCGCAGACGTGGCCTCCCCCATACCGTGAACCATCCAGCAGAAAGTCTGGCACATGGTGTTGGCATCTTCATTTTTACCCTCACATGTAAAAAATGTAAAGCTCGTTATTTTCTTTCCTTTTTTTTTTTTCCAGCTGGGAAAACTCCTGTCAGTGGGTGCAGCGTCCTTTCCAGATTCAATATTATGCAAACTGCATCTCGGCGAATGGAGTAAACAAATATGTCCATGGAGCTGCCTGATGCAGAGATGGAGCTGCCCCAGGACCGACGCAGCTGTCCCAGCGCATGGGAGCCGCTGAAGCTGCCACCCGGCCAGCCCTGCCACCATCTCTTTCCTTCCGAGCATGAGGTAGGAGTCCGAGAGCCTGGGATGATGGGCCACTGTGATGCCCAGTGGCAGGGGACAGCTGGCGTCACACAGACTACGGGTGTCTGGGGGTCAGATTGAAGCCATTATTGGCTGGGTGGGTGGGGGGGGGGCTCTCGTCAGGGTGTCAGAGTAAAGCTCCAGACCCTGCCAGGCCTGTGTCTGCTCTCAGCCCTATCCCCGACAGTGAGGCTCTCAGCCCCAGGCAAGGCTGTGAATTTTTACTTTCCACCTGTATCTCCCCAGCCTGGCAGGTACTGGCAGGAGGCAATAACCCTCCACCCTGGGGGGTCTTTCTGGCAGAGAGAACTTGGCCAAGTCCCTTCCCACCAGGGGCTTTAGTTTCCAGGCATGCAGTGTCAAAGTGGGTGTGATGGACCGACGGCTGGCATCAGCATTGCTGTCGACACAGTGTAGGATGCTTCTGTGCTAGGCTGATTCCCCACATGTTCCCATTGCAATAACCCTGTGAGCTTAAGTACTGTTTAAGTGTTTCCTTCTCAGCAGTTGAGGAAATAGATTTAAGAGGATTAGAGTGCTCTGTTGAAAGGTGGGCAGAGAATAAAGTGGAGAAGCTGGTGTTTAGACCTGGGGCTGTCTTTTCAAAAGTCTCATCCTTTCTTCTTTGCTAAATGGCATCATGCTTCCCAAACACCCCTGCATTCAGAACACAAACGACCAAGCTAAGCAAAATGACCAGGAACGTCCGAAGGGTCCAACTTCAAAACCTGAAATTAAATCTTTATCCATCTGTTCTCCAGGTAGCACCTCTCTTACCCTGGCTGGCTTGACTATTTTCCCTTGTAGCTCCTGTCCCCTTTGTCTGAGACAGGGCAGAGAAGGAAGAGGCAGGGTAGAGAATCTGCCCTTAGGGAAGAGCCATATTTCCCTGTGTGTGTGTTTCTTTGGACAAACAGAAACTGGAACATCCTCAGCTAGTTTGTGATGAAGCAAGAGTCCCTCCTCACCATGAGCTACCTTCTGGCACCCGGCTTTGCAGAAGTACTTGCTCAAGCAGACTGGGGTCCATCACTAACCAATGGACTTGAAGACTCAGAGTTACTGAGAATGACTATTTGCAGCCATGCTAGCTGGGTCCCCGAGAAATTGGGCAGGTCTGTTCCTATTGTTTGAGAGGAGAGATGAATTCTGAGGTGTCAAGAGGAAATGGCCTTGTACCCAGTGTCCCTGTGCCTGGGGTGCCATATTGCTGAGCAGATGGCAGTGTCACGGCCATGCCTCTGGTGGAGAAAAGACTGAGATGAAACCCCAGAACTTTCTTGTGTTGACAGCTTCCGAGCATCTCCTTAAGCTTTCCAGGGCAGGCGCTGGGATGGGAGGCTCGTTAGGCCGCAGGAGCAACAACCAAGGCCAAAGATTCATGTGTTCAGCAGGTAAACAGCTTTGTGTGGAGGCCGTTGATGAATAAGATATATGTGATCCTATTTTTAGCACCTAGCATATATCTGATATTTCATGTTGGTTTTGGATGATCACATTGTGGAAGTCTTCAAATCTCTCCTCTTTCTAGAATCTCATTGACTTTATTTTTCCTGGTGGGAAAAGCAATCAACCTAAATATTCTTTGAACAATCACTGTCTATGGTCAGTGTCACCCATTCAATGTTTATATCCATATGCCAAACAAATATCCCAAAAATATCCCAGGTGATGCATTTTGAGGGTTATCACCAGGCTAGCTTATTTGCTTGCCCATCTCACCCTCAATACCTCTAAAATACATGATTATATATACAGACTATAAATACAACAGAGTTATGCGAATGAATTTATTGAATAAGTAACACCACTAAATTAGGGGGGTAATATGTGCACTTGGGAAGCTTATTTTGCTCATTGTACTGCCAAATTTGTGGCCTTTTGCATCATGTATCTGGCTGGCCACGGCAGCATATGTGGTGCTGTTCTTGTTGCCTCACACAGTTGTATGTTTGCCCCTTGGGGATGACTTTTCAACTATGTGTCCATGACGCTCCTATTCACACACTATGTGGCAGACAGACTCTGAGGAGACCCTCCATGATCTGTATCTCCTGTTCATATCCTGGATGATACCTTCTGCTTGAGTGCAGGTGGGGCCTGGCTTGCTTCTAACCAACTGAACATGGTACAATTCACTCCTGTGATTACATTGCATTATATGAGACTCTGTCTTGCTAGCAGATTCACATTAGAAACTCTTCTTGCTGTCTTGATGAAATAAGCAGAAAGCCCATATGGCCTCTATAAATGGTGGATGGTCTGTAGTTGCTGAGGGTGGTGGCTTCAGCCCTTAGCCAGCCAGACACTGGAGCCCTCAGTCCTACCACCACAAGGAAATAAATTCCACCAATAAGCTGAGTGAGCTTGGAATCAATTTCTTCCCCAGTCAAGCTTCCAGATGAGGACACAGCCTGGCTAAAACCTCAATTGCAGCCTTAAGAGACCCTGAGTAGAGACCCAGCTAAGTTGTCCCCAGACTCCCAGCCCACAGAAACTGTAAGATAATAAATGTGCATTGCTTAAAATCACTAAATTTGTGATTATTTATTATGCAGTAGTTGAAAATGGATACATGACACTAGGGAGTTCATAGCCACCTGCATTGTGAAAGAGGTTCGATGCTGTTACACTGAATCCTCCTGTATGTCATCTGAAATGTGTCCTTTGTGTGCTCTTGAAAATGAAAAACTAGGGGATTTGCTGGAGAGAAATAACAAATGCCTCTGGATTTAGGTTTATGGTTGTTAACATCTGTGCCTATAGGCCAGATATCTTTCCTGAATTTCGGATCTGAACGCTTACTAATATATCTTTACTTGGTAATTCCACCTCAAAATAAGAAATGTCCCAAACCCAACTTCTCATTTTCCAAATTGGATCCTTCCCCACTGCTTTTTGCATTAAGAAATGGCACGCCTCAATGTTAGCCTTGATCCTCAGGCCTCCCCCACAGGCGACAGGTCCTTGGGCCCTTGCTCGGAAGAAATGGTTCTCAGATCAGATTCCTGATGTCATGCTGGAGTGGAGAGATACTGCAAGGCTCCACAATTCCCGGGCCTTTGTAAATTGGCCCTTGGGCTTCTGCGGGGTCATTGTTCTTATCTCAAGGGCCAAAGACAGTCTTTCATTGAGTGGGAAGGAAGTCTCAAGCTGCAGACCAGGATAATAGACAAGACAAGTTGCAAAGACACCGGGTCCTGGGGACTCGCAGAGACTCTCAGGTTTTCTCTGAACATAGGAGAAGGGAGGAGGACTTTTGCCAAGGATACATGACTTCCTGCCTTGCCTTTCCAGGCTATTAATTCTGGGCTATTAAGCCCAATTCCCTTCCATATTAAATGGCATGAAAGTTAACATCCAAATAAAGTTACAAAAGGTTTATTTAGTAAGGAATGTTCTTTACATCCTTACTAAGCAGTTAGATACTTCTGCCCTTGATGAATCATAGGTTAAAACACCCCTCAGTCTGCAATATTTGCCAGGATGAAAAGTAAGAGTTGCATTCTCAAATGCCTATGATGACAAGGAGGTGTCTGTTCAGATGAAACGGCAGAAGTGCAGAAACAGAAATTGTGCTTGTCTCTAAAAAAGAGACACAAGATGACTGAGAATTGTCATCTGGGAGAAGGGGAAGAACTAGCCCTACATAAAAAAGTTAAAGGGATAGGAAAAAAGGCAAACCGTGACGTCAGAGTGTAATTATAGCTGATGTATCAAGCTTTGCAATGCAATGCTTGGATAATTAAGCAAAGAAACATCAGAATAGGAAGCGTAAGATGGAGCTAGAAACGAGGTCATTACTCAACTTGTATGCTTCGAGTTCTACTATTGTTGATGGAACTGGACATGCGGTCCTCCACAGCCACTAAAATTGTTAACCTGGTGAGTGCAGTCACTTGCACGGTGGTGGGTGGAAGACACATCTGGGTGCAGACCTGTGTTCTACTCAGAGAACAGCTCCGGTTCTTTCTAAACTGTGGGCAAAGGAGAAACTAAAGCCATTTAAAAGTATTTATTTCTAAAAATGTCGTCCATTTTATGTATAATTTATAGCTGAGAATATGATACATTTTATGGACATTTGTGATTTACTTTTCCATTATATTTTCTAACTGGAAAATACTGTCATAGAAAGTAGTTGCTGATTTCTAAATAATTATTTTTCTAAATGTCTAATAGCTTCTCATTTAAACAGTCATCTTATTCTCAAACAGTCATAACTACACTTTCTTATTTCTTGTGGTTAAAGGTTTTTTCTTTTCTTTTACCTTGTTCCACTGTCTCATAGATATATAATGCCAGTCACATATGTAATTTAAACTTTTCTGGTAGTGATGGTAAAAGACAGTAAAAAAAAAGGTGAAGTTTAATAATGTATTGTTATTGAATATCTGGAATATAATTTTAACCTAAATCAGTAAAAAATTATAAATTTTTTACATTAGAAGAAATACCAGGTCTTTAAAATTTTGTGTACATTTCACACTTACAGCACATCTCAACTCAGATGAGCCCCATTTCAAATGCTCAGTAGGCACATGTGGTTGTCATTTTTTGGACAGCACAGGTCTAGAATTTCTAGAATGCTATAAATAATGACCATGATTGCAAGTAGGCTGGTGCATTGTTTTCTGAAAGTGGCAACACCACTTAATTTTAAATAGCAATCATTGACATTTTGCCTGGACAGGTTTTAATATTTTTATCATGTCAAGGAGCAATCTTCTATTCCTAGTTTATGAAATATTTTGGTTGTGGTGGTTATTGTTATAAATTATAAATGCTATTGAAGTCACCTCCTCCTCCTTTAAGAAGATATGTTGTTTTTTTCTCCTCTGACTTAGTGACATGATGTTTTAAGGTTTTTCTCACATAGTTAACTATCTTTGCATTCCTGGAATAACCTTTACTTAGTTATGGGGCACTGCTCTTCTATGTTACATGATTCAATTTGCTTTTGTTTCATTTCCCCAGGTCAC